ATTCATGTATATTTTGTTCACCCAAAGAAATCCAGAGAAGTCTTTTCCCAGGAAAAACCTTTCCTTTTTCTTTACCAAATTTCTAGCCTCATTTTAAGATATAGTTATCCATGGTTAGTATCTGTGAAGATTAATCCCAAGATCTCTCCCCATCTCCTCATCCATGGGTACCAAAATTTACTGATGCTCTAGTCCTTGGCTTGAAATGGTGTAGAATTGCATGTAGCTTACACACACCTCCTAAAGATTTGAATCATATACAGATTATTATACCTATTATAAAACCTAGACTGTGTTGTAAAAGGAGTAATGATAAGGATAAAGCTTACCCATGTTCAGTACAGAGGCAATTAAAAAATATTTTCAATCTATAATTGGTTAAATCTAAACATATAGAACATACTGATATGGAGGACTGATTCTGATTTCAAACTTATGGAAAAGCTGAAAGAATAGTATAACCTATGTTTCTCAAATGTTATCATCATACCACACTTGCAGTTTCATTTTCTCCTTACCTATGTGTATGGTTTGAGATATATATATTATTTTCTAAACCATTTGAAAGTAAGTTGATGACATAACTGGAAATGAATATTAATTAACACAATATTATTTTCAAACGGATAGAATTTACTCATGTTGTAATAGTTGACCTAAAAATGTGCTTTCTGGAAAAAAAATGTTATCTAATCCAGTATCACTGATTGCATTTCACTGCCTCATCTCTCTAACCACCCTTAAACTGAAAGTCTTTGGGCTGTTAACCTTCATAACTGGCATTTCTGAAAAGTCATATGTTTTGTAGACTTGGAAGATGTTTGGCTTTGAGTCATATTTGGCAGTGCTGCTGGGTCCTTCCTGGCATTGTAATAGGAGGCAAACGATGTTAGTTTGCTCATAATTGTAACAGCAATTTTTGTCACTTGGTTAAAGCGGCATCTCTCAGCTTTCTTCACTGTGAAAACACTAGTCTCTTTAATTAGTAACTATCTTTGGAAGACATTCTTTAAGTTTTTATCCAAATGTCACCCACTAGTTTTAGCATGTATTGATCATTCTTATCTGCAACAGTTGTTACTAGGTCAGCTACTAAATGTTGACCTTCAGATTGCATCATTGCTAATTCTAAAGAAAAAGTTTTTTCACCCCTGTGTTGTTTATTGATGTTAATCAGCATGAACCTGTGTACTCCTTCAGTGAGTTAAGGTCTGTTCCCACTGTGTGTTCTCATGCTCCATTGTCTCATTTTTGGCCAGCCAGAACCCCTTTCCTTTGCTGCCATGTACTTTCCATAGGTCCCCAACATTCTCTGAGTATCTTTTACTTTATAACATGAGATGTTCCATGCTCATTTTTTTTATTTTCCCAAACCCAACCCATAGTTTTTTCAAAAACTATGAACATGATATTTATAAATAAGGATCTAACTTCTAGGTAAATTCATTGCTATTGAATAGGTAGATCTAGAAAGTTACTTATCTATTTCCATAACTACCTGTACATGTTACAAACCATTAAGTTCATACTAATTCTTCCAGTTCAGTCCAATTCCATGAGGTTCCTCCCAGCCACCCCCTGATAGTATGAAGCATGATGTCTATCATCAGGATGTGTTCACTTACTTTCTCAGTCAAACTTATCTTCTCTAGTTATGGTGACACCAAAGACTCTATGTAATTTTGTTTTTATCAAGTTACATGTATGCTTTCTGGAGGATGTCATAAGAAATTTGGATCTTCATAACTGCTGTTCTACAGCCACCTTATACATGAATAATTTTTAACACATGAAGTAAAATTAGAAAGGAATCCTACTCTGCTTAAATCCTACTCTACTAAAACATTTTTTTCTTTTCATACATTAAATAACAGTATATGGTGACAAGAATGAAAACCACTGTAATTTCTGAAGTAGTGATATACATAAACTGTGCTTTAAGACAATTCTAACAGCAACGTGGCATAAAAATATTTGTAACAAAATCACAACTACTGCAAATACTACTGTACTTTATTGCTACCTTTGTAATGGAAAGATGCATTAAATTTTGGTTACAGTTTAAAGAAAATAAAGATGGCGTCTTTCTCTTATCTAAAGAGGAAAGACCTCTGAATTCTACCCACAGTCCCCCTCAGGGTTCTATGAAATCTCTCTGTCTGAGGAGCTTTTGTAGATACCCAAGTCGTCTGTCCACCTGAATTCAAGCCTCTTGGGCTCCTAATCCACTTTCATACACCAGAACACAGCCCACCTTGCTGTGGTTTCTCTGGCCTCCCACTCCTCACCTGTTCTCTCCCTCTCTGAGGACTTGTGCCAGCTGTTGTACTAGGAACATGAGGCCCTGAAGGGAGATAACCCTGAAGCAACAACTATTTCAGACATCAGAGGTTGATTTTGGCCAGTGGACTTTGGTCCCAGCCTCTGAACACCAGGGGCAAGGTACCGCTCAGCTTGGCGCTGTTCAACATTAGCCCAGCTCACAGGAATCTCAGCTCCTCACGGCACGGGCCCAGCACGTCAGAGACCTCCACAAATCACTTTGTATCTTGAGCCTGTTTTATCTTTAATGAAAAGGGGCAAATAATGCCTTCTCTAACTCAAAAGGCTCCCAAAAGGATCAAAGTAGGCCTTTTTATGAAGATGCAGTGTGGAGGCCGCTAAAGATGTCAGCCATGATTTTATTGTTACTCCCCTGGTTTTTATCCCTGACAAAGCTGACAACAAAAAAGTTTCCACCCTCTGCTCTGGCAAACTTGAAAGCCCATCAATTTTTGTCTTCGTCCAATAATTCCCCGGAGAGCTTGGATTGCAATGAAGGCTACAAAATCCATTCACACAATATATTTAACCTTTCAATAGTCAATATTTAACAAATCAGACTTGAGTAAAACACTATATTAGTTGAATTTGCATATATGAACTTTCATTAAAATGTTTAAAAGTATAATTTCACCAGAGTTCATTATGATGTCTTCTGCATAATTATACATTTTTATACATATATATGTGAGAAAGAAAAACCCTGCTACATGGACATTGATACACAACAAATCATGATTTTAGCATAGGAAAGATCTGGGGAAACTATGCCAAATTATTTTGGCCAAAACAGTCTAAAATCCTGTTTTAGAAATAGTCACAACTATGTCACGAGAATCAGCTAGTTTTTCCAAACTCAACTCTTTTTTTTTTTTGATACCAGGGATGGACTCACCACCTAACACTTGGCAGTTACTTACGCCGCTGAGCTAAATCCCTGGCCCTAGATATTTTAATATTTTCTCTGGCTTAATATTCATCAATGGATAGTTCTCTTTCTTTCTTCCTTCCTTCCTTCCTTCTTTTCTTCTTTTCTATAGCTATGGATATTTTAAGGAAAGAGGGGTGAAATCAGAGCCTAAAACCTTCCGAAGTAAAGAACTCACAATGAGTTATGTTAATCTGATTTATTAGTTTCCTTATACAGGGATAAAAATAAAGTAAGTGTGTTTAAAATTCTATCTAGTATAAAATTCTATCTAGTATATGACTCTATTCCTTATTACAGGAAGATTTACTTATATAGAAAACAAACTGGAAGAAAATTCACCAAAATATTCAGAGTCAAATGTGATCAACACTACTACTGTTTGTTCTGTATTTTTTTTTTCTTTTTTCATCTTGAGCATGAGTTGCCTTTACAAGCAGAGGGGGGAAAATGAACTATTTTTAAAGGATTGAAACATTTACAAAATTGCTTGGTCTTACAGCTCATTTTTTAACATGTCTGTGAGCAGTCATGATTCCAGAAGCTTCCATAAGATATGAACTTCAACTCAAGCCTATTAATAGTGCTCTCAAGCACTCTTGATCTTGTCTTTGGTCCTTCTTCCCTCTACCAGATAAAAAAGACAACACAGGTGATGCTGTGTGAGAAGAAAAATCTCCTTCCCTTGGGCTGCCATATTCCTGTGAGTTGGGAGGCTGGGCTCTCTTAATTCTCAGGCCTGAGGTGACCAGGAAGAGCCAGCACTCAGGACCTTCTTAACTTCTTCCTTCTGTGTGGCTCACTCTTCCAGCGCCCAGTTCCCATGCTAAGAGCAACACATACTGAGCAGAAACACAGATGCAGGCTTTCCGAAGAAAGGGGAAAGGAAGCCCACGTCTGGTTCAAATGTAGACCTTAAGATACCCTTATCTGTGACAAAATTGCTGTCCAGGTTGTAATGGTTACACTTAAGGTCAAAACCTCAGTTTTTTAGTAGGCATTTGCTTCACATCAGTCTTTGTATATGTGATTTTTCCCCCTCACAGGAGGCTGGTGGAGAAAATTTCTGTGGAGAAAATAGAATTGGAGGATTTGGATACTGACTTGGGGTGTTGTGTGTTGGTCAGTTTGCCTCTTTCACTCTTCGTATCCACCTTCCCGCTTCCTACTGAGCTTATTTATGGCCTCCACTTAGTACTTCTGCAGTGAGTTCTATTGTCCTCAGAGCTAGGGTGAGGGTGGATATTAACCGGGTTAAAATCAGAAAATGGACACCAAGCGACAACACAGAATGCTCTGATTTTCCTGACAGTCTGGAAAAAACTGGGAGTCTGACAGAACCAGTAAGACTGACTGGCATTTTCTAACAGATTTTGCTCTTCAATTTCACAAAATGGCAAGAGGTAAGATTTTACTGTGAGTCTTTCAGGTGGATGAGTTCACACGTGAGATTGATGCCACCACCACACACAACTGCAGTGGCCCACATCCATCCAGTGATCTGGGTCAGCTTTTCCATGGCTCCTCCTTCTCTCTCCCACTTAGTTTCTCTAATTAAATTTCTACGTGGTAGTCTTGCATTACGTAAGAATGATTTTTCCATTTAGATGGCTATCTCCAAACAAATACGAATCACTATAGCACTTTTTAAAACTTTCTATTTATCTACTTGAATGCATTAAAATAGCTCAAATTTATCAAGCATAGGTTATATACTTCTGTGGCACTAATTTGTATTTTTTTCTTTTAGGCACACAGGACATCATCTTCTTGTACTGTACAAGAAAGGAGTACCCTCTCAGCTACAGGAAAACAATGTTTTTGTGGGTGTTAGCCTTCCTGATCCTCTGCGCCTTTCTGTGGAATTGTAAAGGACGACTGAAGATTGCAGATATCAACGATAAGTACATTTTCATCACTGGATGTGACACAGGCTTTGGAAATTTGGCAGCCAGGACTTTTGATAAGAAAGGATTTCATGTCATTGCTGCCTGTCTGACTGAATCGGGATCAGCAGCTTTGAAGGCAGAAACCTCACAGAGACTTCACACGGTGCTTCTGGATGTAACTGACCCCAAGAACGTGAAGAGTACTGCTCAGTGGGTGAAGAACCACGTTGGGGAAAAAGGTGAGAGATATAGGGGGAGGGACGATGAGGGGCATAGGGAAGTAACTAGAGCAAAATAAAATGTGTTCAGATTTTAAACGGCCTTTCAAGAAAATAGCTCCTAAATGCCAACTGTGTGCTTCTCTACTCTTGGGAGTGCATCTTAGTACCCCCAAGCCACAATGCCCTGTGTACGTGGGAGACTTTGCCCAAATTGTGCTCAGTCCCAGCGAGTGAATTTAGAGCCGAGATGAAGGCACTGACTTGCCCTGGTCTTCTGGGAGGTGTTACACCAGCTACATACATGGCAAAGGGAGTTGGGATAAAATCTACAGGAAAATATTGGAAACAATCCCCAAGTGGCTATCCGCATACCTCAGATCCACTTTCCACTATAAAGTGGCTCCAGAACTCACACAATTTAACAGAAATGTAGGAAAGGGCCAGAAAATGTGAGCATGAGTGTCTCAGTCACAGCAGACAAGTGAGCCAACAGACAGTGAGTCTGCAGAGGATTCTGCAAAGATGGCTGCCTTCTGAACCAAAAGGCTTTCACTGGCTTTGACTGAGGCTTGAAATACATTCATAGACAAAGATACTGGAATCCCCCAAAGAAAAAATCCAAATGCATATGTTTTTTCTCAGTTATATCTTTGTCATATATCTGAGATTCAGGAGGACAAATGCAATAATTTAGTAAGGCTCCAGACAACTTTTAATGCTTGAATTCCAAACACTTTAACAGTATTAAATGTTTCCCCACAGGGGGAAAAAAGCCAAGTGAATGATTGCATTTTTTACCAAAAAATAAACATATGTAGATTGATGTCACTCTTTTGTCACACAGAACATTTTATAAGTATTCTGTGGCTTTGACATCTAGCAAGATAAGAATAACAGACTAATTTATATCTGAGAAGAAAAAAAAAAAAAGCAGAAAATGTCACTCAGAAAGCATCAGCATGTGACATTGAGACCCGGAACTAGAAGAATGCTGAGACTGAACTCAAGTAACAAAATGTCAACTGTTTGAATTCCTCTCTTTCTGCTATCAGTTAGGGATTTGCAAATTATTTCAAAACAGAAATCTGAGTACAAAGAAGAAATGACACCACTGTGGAAAGCAGAGGGTGGGCCCATGCCAGTCCCCCCTTCTACCACAACTCCTCTCCTTCCTCTCTGTTCTAGGTCTCTGGGGCCTGATCAATAACGCGGGCGTACCAGGTGTGCTGGCTCCCACAGACTGGCTGACAGTGCAGGACTACAGAGAACCTATTGAAGTGAACCTGTTTGGACTCATCGATGTGACATTAAATATGCTTCCCTTGATCAAAAAAGCTCGAGGGAGGGTTATCAATGTCTCCAGCGTCGGAGGTCGGCTTGCATTTTGTGGAGGGGGCTACACTCCATCCAAATATGCAGTGGAAGGATTCAATGATAGCTTAAGGTAAAGCAAATTAATTAGCTTAGCAGTAACATTTATTGAATGCTTCATATGTACCATTTAGTCTAGTTAGTGCTTTAAATTATTACTACTTTATAAATGATGCCAGTGAAACTAAGAGAGATTAAGAAACTTACCTAAGGTCATCTAAGGTAGAACTGATATTTGAGCCCAAGTCTATTTCTTTTTTTACTTTTGCATTAATGTATGATGCTAATAGTGGTGGTAAATTTTTATTCAACAGCTCAGTTTGCAAATAAGAATTACAGAGTCTAAATCAGGGTATGTCTCTCCATTGTTGTTACTGTCAGCTACAGACACAAAATTCCATCTTACTTAAATCTTCAGTAGAAAAGTATCATTTATCGATGAGCTGCTCAATGCACTCTGTCCAGTCTTTGTGGCTGCATTCAGTGGGAGGCAGGGAGGAGTGTACTATTACTCGGAATCACACTTATCACTATAAGTTTAAAGCTCTAAATTGTAAGTAATTCTTTCCATCAAGGTTTTTGAAGGGAATGGTGGCACATTAAAATTTGGTAAAGGGAGTAAAGTTTACTTAAAGGACTACTTACAAACGTGTGGGAGGTTCATGTATAGGGAAATCTCCAAGCACAGTGTAGTATCTAGGGGCTGATAACAGAAGGGGCGTTTTCATTCTTGGGATTGAAGAGATAAGGAGGCAGGGAAGTTTCCAAACCTGCAGAAATGCAGCTATTCTCTTCCACTGAGGGATGAAATAACCAGTGTTGGCATCACAGAAGAAGGAACTAGCCTCTCTCTTCCCATCTTCCCTGATCTCCCACTACCATTTCTAAACTCTTGCACCCCCTGGAGCCAGAGTATAGATAATAGGTCAGCCTCTAGGGTGTGGTGCTGGCAGAAGGGTGGAGAAAGGGAGTGGAAAAGCAAATAAAAGCTATTGGGTCAAGTGGTGCTATAGTAGGCAATGTAGCCATTTACTTATCCAATTAGTATTTGTTGAAGCCATATATTGCGGTTTATGATCTATACCATGGTTCTTAGAATTGCTTACTAATAAGGAGTGGGATTATTTCTCTGAGATTGGTAAAGATAGACTTGCTTTTGCCATGTGAGCAGGTTGCTAAGTTAACTCTCCTAGGAAATAAACAATAATGATAGGAAAATGCTTCTGAAGTATCAGTGTAAATTGGAGAATTTTGTCAAAAAACAGATTTGTCAGTAGTGGGTCTGAGATGAGGCCCAAACATCTGCTTGTCTAGCAAGCTCCTAAAGAGATCACGTTAGGCGTGTCAGACAACCAGTGGTGCATGATTCACAATGAGTAACAAGGTCATGACAAATTTCCATGCATTTCCTTGGTTGACCTCTGTCTCCATTCTTGTCTTAGTTATTTTTCTTGTTGCTGAGACAAAATACTCAACATCCAAAGTTAGAGGAATATTGCTAAAACCCTCATAGAGAGTTCAGGTCTCCTACCCAGCAGTATGGAACGCAGGGAACATTCTACAGTTGAGGAGCTCTGGGATGATCAGTGTTCTCGGTGGAATGAAAAGCCATGAGTTCAAACGTTCATGGATTTTATTGGTATCAATAATAGAGATGGGTAGGGGTCATGGCAGAGTGCTAAGGAGAAGAAACTTTGCAGACACTGGCTGTAAGGAGAAACAGAGCAATTTTGTACCAGGCACCAAGGCCTCCAAATAGCAATACAACAGATAGCTTGGTGTATGCTAAGCTGACACCTGTGCTGCCAGGACGGTATAATTCTATCTGAGTCCCATGGCCTCAGCTGAGATGATATCTCATATCTTAACCCTAGAGTCTCACAGGCTCTTGCTCAAGCCCTCATTCCAGCCATCAGCAAAGGGGGCAATTGTCACTTGTGTGCTATAATGAGACACGCTGGCTGGTGTCTTAGCCGAAGCTGATAACATTATTGTAGCCAATTAAGGGAACATATGTTCTATATAGCCAGCTCTGCATATCTCAGTGAATAAAGGTTGAAGTAAAGGTCAGTGAAAGACAGAGGCAAGTGGCTTCATTTCTCAGAAGAACACAGCTTGGTGGTCTCTCACAGAAGAAAGTTTTATTTAGCTCACAGTTTACATAGAATTCAGTCCAATACCCATTGGCTCCAAGGCAGGGCGGTGCATGACAGAGGGGCAAACATTCATGGCAAGCAGATGACAGCAAAAGCGACAAAGAAAGAAAGAGACAAACCTCTTCTTGCTCCTTCTATTGTATCCAGTCTACCAGGATTAGGGCAGTGCCAATCCACTCAGTGAACTGATCCAACAATCACCCACCCTCACTCCCAGCACCCTTAACCCTAGCATTGAACCATGAATCAGTCACATACTCTAGAATCATTCACTTTCAAAAAAAAAAGGCTCGTCTAAAACTGCATCTAGATACAAACCATAACAAGTCTCTAAGCAGCAGTTATAATACAGTTTTAGTAGACTTAGAGCTGTACTCACTTTTAAAAATGAAAGATTTGTGGAATTCACAATTCAATTATACCATGCCTGAAAGTAATCAACAAAGTATGTTTATTTCTTTAGGAATCATGGAACTAGTATTGGAAGTGGTATTGTGCCTGCAGGCCCAGGCAATGGCACTGCTACAATAGGGTTTAGGGAAGCAGTCCAACCAAGAGGGAATCAGAATTCTTTAAAGCTGTATTTTCCCAGCAAGCATCTTGGGTTTCATACTCTTTGTACTTTTGGTCACACCTTGCTGCTCTCTGACTGCAGAACTCATCATGTTTGGCCCAGAAAAAAAAAATGGTTCAGTGTGAGGCACCTGGATCAGTTTCACTATGTCACAGGAACTTTTCAGGACCACACATTTGTCATTGATGTCTTATACTTTTGTACATTTTTAAGTGCTCATCGTGGGTCACAAAAAAGTAAGAGTAATATCACGAAGCCTGAAAGGTTTATATTAGTCTAGTAAAGTGTGAGATTTCTAAGGAAATTATTTCTAATTACTGTATATTATTTCTTGTGGGAAAACTCATTTGGTAGCCTTAAGTTTTGGCACTCACCATGAGTTCTGGGACAAACTGATGACACATACCAGGTATGTCTGTACCAGATAAACTTAGTGAGGTGGCTTTTGCCTAGATTGTATGATACTTTCATAAGTGGGAAACAAGTCTTTCCAAAACCTTGCTTGGAACTGTTATTTCCAAGATGCAGCAAACTAGACATTAGTTATTTTACTAGAAAGCAAAATCTAAAATAAATCATCCTTTAAGTTCACCAACAAAGCTTTTTTAAAAGTCAGATTTCTGTAAAATGGGTAATTACTTCCTTATATATTCCTGGTGAAAAAAGAGATTAAATTTAGGAAGTTATTATTGATACACTGTGGGGTTTACCATACTTTGGAGGGAGTATCTTGGTTTTTTGTATCTTGCTTTAAAGAAATGGGTGCTATGGCTCCTCTAAAACCTTAGTGCCCAGTAAATGAGTAGACTTTCTGGTTTTCTGTTCCGTCACACTGTGTCCTTGAGCTTATCCTCCTTCGTGCTGCCATTGCTCCACATTCCCAAAATGGAGCAAACGTCTATCCAGCCAGTCCTCGCTCCATTTCACCTCAGGCAGTTCAAACATTGAAGAGAGGGTGTACCCCAAATGCTCATCAATTTAAAGAGCAGAGTGTGGCTTAAGTGATGAACACTGGGCTGGGGGGGTGGTGTCCACCCAGATCCTGTTCCTGTTCTGTCATGGCCACCCTTCATTTCTTCATCTCAAATGACAGGGTAGAAGATGAAGATTCTTTCCAATGCGCCCAATTCTGTGGTTCCATGAAAAGGTTAATGAGAAAACAGATGTTCAAATAGCAAATATTCTTCAAATAAACTGGATTAAACCCCAAAATATAAAATAAGGGATAGGAATATAGTTCAGTGGTAGAGTGCTTGCCTGAAATACACTGTATTTAATCCCAAGTACTACAAAAAAGAAAGAAAACAAAAAAAAATCAAAAGACCAGAAAATGTAATTTTTTTAAAGTAATAAATAAAAACCACCTTTACTGTTCTTTTCACAGACGGGACATGAAAGCTTTTGGTGTGCACGTGTCATGCATTGAACCAGGATTATTCAAAACACAACTGTCAGATCCAGTAAAGACAACTGAAAAAAAACTTGCCATTTGGAAGGATCTGTCTCCAGACATCAAACAACAATATGGAGAAAGTTACATAGAAAAAAGTGAGTTTCCAGTTTCCCCTTGGGATTTGTTGTCCTTGACAGCATGAAAGAGACTGAAACAAATAAAAAAACAAGGTTCCTAAAGTAGCACATAAGTAAGGATCTTGTGGGTGGATGAAAGATCCCTGTTAATTCCATGCCATCTCTTACTTTTCTGTTTATAAATTTTTACTGAGCGTTTACCACATGCCAACTTCTCTGCTGAGCACTTGAGAATTATATCATTTACTTCTCAAAAAAAGTATTTTGGAGAGTGAACAAAAGGAGAATGCCCTAGCCAAGGTTAAACAGCTTTTCCTGCTCATCCCAGGGTGTGTGTTCCAGTAGGGTAGCTGTGGGGCTCAAGGTTTTCATCACTGCACTTAGCTCTTTGTGTTAAGTACCAGTTTCTCCTCAGCACCATTCAAGAATTTGTGGAGGTCACCAAAGACAGCAAAGACTCAGGCTCTGACATGATCTGGTTGACAACAAAAAATAACCAAGTTGTATTGGGAAACAGTGCACCTATATAGCCACAAGAAAACTGATCCTTCTTAGAGATACTCCAACAACCCAGAAGTGGGACTAGATGGTGTGGTTTTGTTTTTGTACCAGGAATTGAACTCAGAACCTTGTGCTTGCCGGGCAGGCACTGTGCCACTGAGCTATATTCCTGGTCTGGTGGTATGGCTTCTAATCACCCAAAGAATTCACACCAGGAAAAGAGCCTTGCTGATTAAGAGATCTTCATGGGACAGGTCAGGTTTGAATAAGGTAAAAAACAGAAAGAATTATTTAAGTGGAAGATTTCTAGAGCAGAAATGTATCTAGAGGAAAAGGAAAGAAAAGGTAATGGAAATCAAAAGATTGAGTAAAAATATAAAGATTACATAATGATGATTAATACTGTGAACATATATTAGGTTCTGGTTACCATGCTAAGTGCCTCATATGAATTCTTAATTTAAAAGCCCCCAAAATACTGTACAAAGCACTGTTACTATCCCTTTCATTCATAGAAATGAAGGCACAGAGAAGTAACCTGCCTGAAATTACAAAGCTAGCAAGTGGAAGGGCTAGAGTCAAACCCACTCAGCCTGCCTCTGCCACTTATTCCTGGACACTGCATTATAATGTGAACAAGGCCTTTGGTCCCACTCCATGTGTGTGGGTTCCCTCCCACTCCAACTTCCTGGCCCTGCTAATGTTTGCTTGATGCTCATCAAACACTGACTGAGCTAATGCTTGAGGCTGAACAAGGTCCCACCACGCTATGTGTCACTCTGTGCCTCCAAACTGCAATGGTGCCCCTTCATTGCTGCTCTTGGTAAGACAGTAAGTGATTGCCAGGTACAAGGTCAGGAGTTCCAGGAGTCAAGTCAGATGCATCTGGGAGGTTTTCTAAGTGACTGACACCCTCAAAGACCACCATGGCGTGCACACACACACACACACACACACACACAGAAGTCAAATTAAAACACCTGATTTGACCAACCTTCCTGCTGAGGTCTCCTAGATTTAGAACTACATCCATTCATGTTCTATTTCTCATACTGTTCTAATTCTTCACACTGAGTGTGAAGATTTTAATTGGGCTCAGCAAAAGACTAAACTTAATCCTTGAGACTTAATACTTCAGAAACAAACCCCCTCTTTTAAAGGAGCTTTCTGTGTTTGATGCTGACATAGATACTTTTAAAATGCCCACGCATGCACCACCAAATTCCATTTAAATTTTTTAAAATTTTCATCATAACTGTACATATTTTGTGATATCTTAATACATGTACATGAGGTGTAATGATCAGATCAGGGTACTGGACATATCAATTACATCAAACATTTGTCATTTGTTAGTGTTGCGAACATCCAAAATTTCCTCTTCTAAGAAATACCATAGTGTGTTGAGCCCGATTTTATACTGGTTGGTCCTAGTAAGTTTTTCCAGGTCAGGGTCTGGAGATCAGTCTGACTTGCAGTCTCAACGTAGGCCAAATTTAAAATCACCTTCCTTTATTTTCCTGGTGATGGTAGCATGGTTTAAAATAGTCGCTAATGCTTACTAAATTCTTTGACCGATTTGTTAGCAGAATTTAATGTTGAAAGGAAGAGCTCAGATCCTAGATTTTCCCTTGGAAGGAGACAACTCAGATATATTTTGGGAGCATGTGAGAATTCTATGGTAGTTATATTCTGAAAATTTTGAGAACTCCCATACTGTTTCCATACCGGCTGTTTTAATTTACATCCTACCAACAGTGGACAAGGGTTCCCTTTCTTCACATCCTTGCCAACGTTTGTTATCTTTGGTGCTTTTATAATACCCATTCTGACAAGTATGAGATAACACTCCATTGTGGTTTGCATTTCCTTGATAATTAGTCATGTTGAGCGTTTTTTCATATACCTGTTGACAGTTTGTCTTTCCTTTGAGAAATAACTATTTAGATCTTTTCCTCGTGTTAAATCATATTATCTTCCTGCTCTTAAATTGTGTTCCTTTTGTATTTTGTATATTTGCCCCTTGACAGATGTATGATTTGCAGATAATTTTCCAGTTCTCTAAGTTGTCTCTTCATATTTCAACTGTTTCCTTTTTGGAGCAGAGGCACAGATGTTCCTTTTAGTCTGTTGCAATCTGATCTATTTTGACATTTCCTTTGTGTTTTGGGTTGTATCCAAAAAAGCATTGCTCATATCGATGTCAAGAGCTTTTTACCCTCTTTTCTTCTACTTATATTACAGTTTTAGGTCTTATGTTTGTTTTATGAGTTGATGTTTGGATATGACATGAGATAAGTGTCCAGTTTTGTTCCTCTTGCAATGACAAGCAAAAACACCAAATGCATCCGGGATTTGGAAGCATATTTATTTATATTGACAGGCACTAATGGGGACCCTTTCCAGAGAATCAGGCTGTGATCTCTGGTGGTCTAGGGCTTATATGGGATGAGCAAGCAGGAAGTACAAAGGTAGAACAGCTTGTCAACTGGTGATTGGTTTATACAATGTGCATCACAATGATCAACCATTTCTAAGAGACAGGAGCAACTGGAACAGAATCTGGAACTATTACCTGCACAACTAAGAAACTGAACTATGCTGGCTGGGGGGGACCATGTTCTGCTACACTGAGTGTGGATGTCATTTTCCCAACATCATTTATTTAGGCGACAAGGACTCTAAAGCTTACCAATCACTTGTACAACATTTGCCTTCTTGAAACAATCTCAGTAGCTCATTACTCCAATACTTTCTTTGCCTGAGAATTGGGCTACTTTTAATGTCCTGACTCAGTACATTTGGAGATTCACAGAATCACAAAGGCATGTGTATGTGAGTGCACTCCCACATCTACACTCATATGTACACACATGCTCTTACACATTTCCTACACATATAATCCTCCCTTGAAATGAATTAGAAATCAAAACTGTGGTTTCCTAGGACATAAAACAACTTTCCTCCATTGCTTTAAAGCAACCATTCAAAGTTTGGTCCTAGAGCCAGCAGCAGTACTATCATCTAGAAACTTGCAAGAAGTGTAAACACCCAGGCTCCACCTCAAGCCTACTGATTTGGAAACTAAATTTGAACCCAGAAATCAGGATTTTTAACAAGCTCTCTAGGAGATTTTGCTGCCCATCCAACTCTGAGAACCTAAGGACAGCACTGCTGCATCCTTTCCTGGGGAAGGGCTAGAAACATCACAGTGGGCCTCAATTCTGATGACAAATTCAAAATAAACTCTCTCTCTCTCTCTCTCATAATCCTCCTCTTTGTACCTACTCTCTGTTCTGCTTTTCCTCTTCTTCCAAAGAATCAGTGTGCTCTTTTCTCTTTTTGCAGGTCTAGACAAACTGAAAAGCACCGCACACTGTTTGAACGTGGACCTCTCCGTGGTGGTAGAGTGCATGGACCACGCCCTAACAAGCCTCTTCCCGAAGACTCGTTATGCTGCTGGCAAAGATGCCAAAACTTTTTGGATACCTCTGTCTCACATGCCAGCAGTTTTGCAAGACTTTTTATTGTTGAAACAGAAAGTAGAGCTGGCTAATCCCAAGGCCGTGTGATTTCAGATCATCACTATAAAACTGGCTGATTTCAAGGCCACACCTCATTTTTAATCTCATTTTTTACATGGTCCAACCTGGAGGCATGCTCCAAGGTCATGGTTCTTTTTATAGAAAAAGGAGCTTCCCCATGCCAGTGTTCTTCCAAGGCCCCTCCTCAGGCCTTTTTTCACAATAAGGACGGAGGGCACCTCACATAGTCCACTCCTGCCCATTGTGAGACAGTGTGTGCTTGGCGGCATGGAAGAGAAATCGGAAGACACCCTCGCCCAGAAGGATGACACCCTTGACTGCGCCATGCTCATCAAGTAACCTGGAATGTTCCATGTTGTCGCTTAGCAAAATAGTGAGCAGTAAGTAGAATGTTTTCACAAGTGGATTAGACTATTCTGTTACCTTGCTAAGAATAAAACTCTGAAGGACTAGAACTCAGCTGTAATTTGCTTTGCTAGGAAAAGGAAGAGAGATAAAGCATCATGTGACACCAGGGTAAACCAAAAGGTGGCCAAATTCAATATTGTTTTGAATTTTTTTGAAATGTACATATTCCCTTTTTAACAACCCACCTGTTTGACAGCTATTTGACAACTGTTGAATTTATGGCTGAGACAAACTATTTGAACTTACAACCCACTGCTTGGGCTTATGACCCATTTTTACTTGTGGACAGTTCTGTACAACTTGTTTAGAGAGCCTCCATGTCTCTTTTTGCACAGCACACAGTGCAATACGCCATATAGTACTATAGTTTTGGGTTCTGTTATGTATTATAGTATTGCATTAAGTGATGCAAATAAAATCAGAGGTATCAAGCTGGAGTTTCCTTTGGCCATTCCTTTACTATGAATATTATAAGATACATGCTAGGTACAATTTCTCATTTAGGGATCAATACATTTAACGACCTAGTCGTAGGAACAGAACTTAGTCGTTAAACGAGGCATGTCATATGATTTTAAAAAGTTAGAGTGCACTTGTTATCGTGTGTACTTGTACAAGTGAGCAAACATATCCTTAGCTTACTATGAAGAAACTATTTAATACCTGCTGCTGAAAACCACAGCCAGTTGAAGGTATCAGTAATTCTACTCATCTCATTCACCTTCGTGGAAATAATCTGCCTATGAGAGACTTTACTCCTTTTAAGTTTACAAAACATTGATAACTGAAAGATACAATTGCCCAAGATGTTAATTTACCTAGACATATATTTAATAATTTTGAAAAAAGTTGAGTTCATCTTTTTGTGTCAAAATTAAAAGAAAAATATGGCAAGAATAGGATAGGAGAATTCTCAGGCGAAATTAGCCAACTGCTGTGATATACCTGTGCGGTCATCCCCACTTGGGTGCCCAGAAATAGTTCCTCTATGGCTGTCTGATTTCCACTGGTTACAGTTATCTGCCCCTCAGCCCGCTCATGGAGCTGAAACTCACCATAATTGTTTTCTACATTACTTCCTTCTCACATTGAATCCCCAATTCCTGACTTCCTTTCACTGCTTAGAATTTATGACATGCTACTCTTTGAATTTATAGACCTCCTAGGGCTACCAAGAATTTTAGAATATGAAGGAATCATGCCAGCCATGGTGGTGCACGCCTGTAATCCTAACACTCAGGAGGCCGAGACAGGAGGGTTGCCATGAGTTTGCCATGAGCCAGCCTGGGTTACATAGTGAGTTCATGGCCAGCCTGAACTACCCAGTGGAACCTATCTCAAAAAGCAAAAAAAATAAAATTAAAAAAAATGAAAGAATCTGTTTGCTGAACTTCCTATCACTTTATTCATATTGTTAGACCTGCCCACATCTGTTATTTGTGATACTTTACCTAGACCTGAGTTCTTTGCTTATTCTTTTGAGCAGCTCTAATTTGGTAACTCCTTGTTTCATCCAACCAAAAATGTCTCTCCTCAGAACATGGTATCGCTATGTCTTAGTTACTTTTCACTCGTCGCTGAGACAAAATACCTGAAGCCCAAAGTTGGGAAAGGAAAGGTTTATTTCTTACAGTTTTTGGAGGTTTCAGTCCACACTCAGTTGTCTCCAAGACAGGCAGGCATGGCTGGGCTGCAGTTCATGGCGGCCACCAGCAGCAAACTCTAACCAGCAAAGAGAAAGATACACCTTCTTCCTGCCATTACATTACATCCTGGCTCCACCCCTATGTGGGTGGAGCACTGACACCATCAATCCAAGCACTATACAATGAACCATCACATATGAACAATGCAAACTCATGAGGCCTGGGGGACACAAACATAAACCATGACACGCTACTAAATAAAACCAAATATATTCACCTAAACAACCTAGAAAATTTTTACACAAAATGAGGTGAGTGTTTTTGTATGGAACACTCATACACAACTTACCAGATCCTTGAAGTATTCTGCATAAATTTCTCTTTCTTTTATTCTATCTTCTTTTCCCCACCTTTTTTTATTTTTATGGATTTTATTTGTCTGCTTTTAATTGTTTCAGGGCTTTATTTGAAATCACTTTTTGCTAATCTCAATAAAGACCTGAGAGCAACTTCCCTGACCCAAGACCAACACTTTGAATATTTCAGCTTTTAAGATCAGACAAAGAGCAACAACCAAAAAAGATGAGCATCCTACAAATACTTGCATTTGCCTATGACTGTTTTTTGTTCTTTGTTGTTGCTAATAAAAATGGGGCACATGGTCCCAGTCACTTTAGCTAGCACTAGCCCTGTGAGCTCTCGTGAGATAAATGGCATCTAAGTAAAGTAAGGTCAGGGCTTCCCACCACTGCTGCACAGTGTAAGTTAAGAAAACACTAGCAAGTTACCGGACCTTCTAATTTGGCTAACAGAGGTCATGTAGCCTCGCATCTGTCTCCTAGAGACATTTCACTGAGAACATTCCCAGTGTGATGGGTTTCTGCTCCAGTACCGCTGAAGAATTGAAGGTCACCACCTTCTAATTACCTCGTCTATTAGCTCTGGTTACTAGAACATTTTTTATTCTTTTTGAGCAAAATCTAAAGCTGAGGGAGAAAGGAGAAAAGGCTGGCACTTCCGCTGCCATTGTGATAATAATCATTCACGTTCATGGAACGTTTAAAATGATCCTGATGCTCCCAGAGTGCTGTCCTTGGGTTTTGCACAGCAGGTACTTTTATTGTTCCATTTTACAAACAAAGAGGGTAATATCCAAGATTCTTTCATCTCTCATGATACAAACTTCCTAAAATTTCCTCCGTGAAGTGCTAGTTTAAAGGAAAGAAGGGAGGTAGAAAGAAGGGGAGTGAAGGGGGCAGGGAGATGAGACAATAGATTTTAAAGTCCAAATACCGCCTTAAAGTTACTTCAGACACCCTGAAGCCATCTTAAATTAGAAACTTGACAATTCTGAGTGGCAAAAGCCTAAGACAAGTCTCCCTCCTCCAGTCAGCGATCCTCACAAACCCTCGAGAGGAAGGGTGAAAGGCGTACAAAGCGGCTCCTCCTTTCCAGTCACTCTACACCCCTGCTGCAAACAAACTTTTGAGAAATGCATTTTCTTGAGCAGCAGTACAGAGATATCACTATACTTCACACGCTGCAATCGTCTTTCAAATGGAAAAAGTAAGTTTCCCAGCCAGAAAACCTTCCAAGTGCTCAGTCTTCTTTGAGTCCCCTCCCACTCCCAACTGGCCACTCTTCCACCTTCAGAGTGGAAAGGAATTTGAGTTCTGTCCCAAAGGAAGCACAGTCTTCCCTGAGCTGGTCAAAGACACAGAGACAGGTGTGCTGCCTCTGCAGGGGGATGGAGGAGAAGATGGATGCCTCTGTGAGTTGTAAGCATGGACTAAGATAAGTCACAGGCTTTTCTGTGGTTCCAAACAGCAAGTCTTAGAGCCGCAATGCTCTAAGGGTGTTTTACGCAATAATCAGCTCAAAGCAAGTCAACAGGGTGATGTAATCATGTGATTTAAATGCATACAAGGAAAAAAGTAAATGGTGCTTTACTCCTGGCTTAAATTTTAGATTGACCACATATGGAGGAAAGCTGATGGCAAATATGTCTGCTCTCTACTACTCAGACACTGGTAAAACCTGTCTGCACTGTTGGGAACCTCATGCTCACACGGCCACAGACATTTTTTTGTGGCTACAAGAGATCAAAGTTATCTGAAGCCCAGGTCAGGTGAAGGAGAGCTGAGGAAGCTGAAGCTGGAGGAAAAAATATGTCTGAAGGGAGATAGCACAGTGCACTCTAAGGGCATGGACAGGAGGGCCAGGGTCATGGGTGCACGTTCTATGCAGGCAAATTCAACACTGTGTAAAAAGGGCTTTTGCAGCAGCAGAGGTTTGATGAGTGCAGCTGGGCAAGCACTGGACCAATGCTGGAGAAGGGATTGAAGAAATTCAGGTTCCAGGATGCTGATGTGATTGATAACTTACAGATTTGTGAATATCTCAAATTCTATGATTAAGGGGCTTCCCTCAGATTTGGCACACACCAGTACCGAGATAGCTAAGAATTTCTGGTCTACAAAGCCCGAGGAAACAGTAAGCCAGCTGTCTCTCGTGTGGATTCTCACAGACCCTGACATTTTATTTTTTCAGGACTTGAAACCTTGCTTTAGCCCCTGACAGGAGAGGAGCCAGGTGCTGGAAGGAAAGAGAAGAGAAATCAAGATGGTCTTAAGCTAAATTTCAGACCTTGCTCCAATGCAGCTCGGTGTTAGCACAGGGAAAAGGAGCTGGGAGGATTCTCGAAGCAATTTACAACTTGTGTTTCACTGGCTCGTTCAGTCGTGTGAGTGCAGTTACCAGAAACTTGCATTTACAGTTGGTTCTCTATACCCATGGCTTCTGCAACTATAGATTTAACCAGCCATGGACTGAAAAGATTTTTAGTGGTACCTGTGGGAACATGTACAATTTTTGTCATCAATTGCTAAATAGTACAATATGACAGCTACTTATGCAGCATTTACATTGTATATGGGGGCATCCAGGGATATAGATCAGTGGTAGAGTGTTCACCTAGCATGCACAAGGCCCTGAGCTTAATCCTCAACACTACAATAGAAGAGAGAGAGAGAGAGAGAGAGAGAGAGAGAGAGAGAGAGAGATTGTATGGGTTAAGTCCAAATACTAGGCTATCTTATATAAACCTTGATCATCTGCAGGTTTGGTACTGGGAGTATAAAGGAACCAAACTCTTGTATATACGAAAAGACAACTTTTAAGAATAAGTGTAAGATGCAGTAACCTCCCTATACACTTTTTCACACATGTGGTAGCACACTGGATTCTACATATTTTTCTACTTTGCTCTACAATGTATTCAAATTTTAATGAACAAAAGTCTAGAAACCCTAAAAAAAAACTAATGCTGACCATCAACCTTCTCAAACCCATTTCACCTGAGCAATAATTCGCTACAGTTCCTTTAGTTTTCTTTATTAGTTCATGACTTGACAAATGGATGTGTAAAGTTATGTGATAATGTTGTTATTTTCATTAAATATACCCAGAAGTTAGTATTCCTACACACTGGTTTCCTCTCTGATTTACTACAGCAATTATCTTTACTCTGAATAAAATAAAGAAGGAGATATTGTGTTGACTATGAACAATCTTAAGAGTATAATGTTATTTATCAACAGCAGTTACAAGTAGAATTATTTCTTCATTAACAAATTATTCTAAAGGTAAGTTGCTCCTCTATACGAAGTTAATGAATTCTTTCAGGGAACCACTTAGAAATTGCCATGTTGCCCCTTCAAGGGGATCCAATGCCCAAAAGTCTTCCACCCACTGCAAGTCAGTTCTGTGATATCAATTGTCATGGA